GAGATATGAAACCTCAAAAATGTCATGATTCTTAATTTATAATCGTTGTACACACATCGATTAGGAAATAAAATGTCAAGACATCGTTATCATGGCTACCATTTTTTGACATACACAATAAGTTAATTATCATAAATTGGCTCCTCATTAAATACACGCGCTATTTGTTTTTTAATCAGATTATTCTGAACCCAATTCCTTATCTTAATGAAAATAAAAAAATAAAAAATGTAGCGTATAAGTTTGACTTGTATAGCACACGGATATGAGGATTGAGGACACGCAAATAATTAGGTGTGTTCTAGCACACCTAGCAAGGTGTGTCAAAGTTTTTTTAAAATGAACATATTATTTTATAAAATAAATATGTGTAATATGTTTACACATGTTCATTTTAAACTGCTTTGACACACCTTGCTAGATGTGCCAAGTCACACCGTCGATAGTAGCACTAATTGAGGACATGCTATATTTCTCTTCAAGGGATTGAAACTGCATTCATATCTGCATATCTGCATATTGGATACTACTCTTTTTTTTGGCAAAATTACAATTTTAATCATATTGATTTGATTTAGTAGCGTTTTTAATTTTAAGAATTGAACATTTTTGCTATTTGATCTTGTGATTTTATATTCAAAACAATTTCAGTCATTTGGATTGAAAATGCTAACAAAATTTATAATTACAGGACTTAGGACTTAAATTGATAACAAAAAATTTTTTGAATAAATTTTTTATTAATAATTTAAGTCATATAATTTTAAATTTTGTCTCAATTTCAATCCTTAAGAACTGAAATTGTAGATAATGCTTGATCGACTCAATTAAGGACTTAAAATTGCAGCAAAAACGCTAAATTACAGGGTCAAAAGACAAAAAGTTAAAATCTCGAGAATAAAAATACTACAGCGTTAAACCAACATGACTAAAAATGTAATTTTTGCCTTTTTTTTTTTCTGTTCCAAAAATAGAACATTGTAGACATTGAAACATTGGGATTTTTTGCTAATTTTAACAATAATAAATAAATATATAAATAGGTAAAACAAAATAACAAGCCTCAATTGCAAACAACCTCCATGTCATGTATCAATCAAAATTCACTTGTTTTTTTTTTTTTTTACAAGAATCATTAACACACTTGCCAACATGTATTGATCAAATTCTCCCAAAAAAAAAAAAAAAAAACAATATGAAAAATGAAAATTAAAAAGAAGTTGTTGTAACAACATGACTGTTGCTTCTAGGGTACTTCAATTCCCTCTTCACATGGTTACCTTTGCCAATCACATCTGTACCAAAATAGCAACAGGGCCTTTCTTCATCTATCCGGCCCATGGCCACGCTGATGCTCCTAGGCGGCATGGCCCGTGGGCCGCCCCTCGAGCCCAAGTTACCCCAGTCAATACTCCGGGCCGAGGCGGCCCGAAGCAGCTCCCTGTAGTCCTCATCGCTCCCCGTGGACCGGGACGAGCTGACGCTGAAGCTCTTTGGGAGGCTCGGTGCTTGCGACGTCCCCTGCAGCCCCACGATGTTGCGGTCGGCACAATTCATCATGCTCTGCACATAGAAATCCCGGGCCTTTGCGAGGGCCCGAAAAGGGATCGTGATTATACGGATGAACTTGTGCTGCTGGCTGGCTTTAGCCTTCATTTTGATGATATTTTTTGGGGGCTTTTGCTCCTCTCTCTCACTATTGATGGAAAAATGTGTACAAATTACAGCTTTTTTTTTTTTTTTTTTT